TATTAACTACAAATCCTTATATTAATCTTTATTAATAACAACCTTTTTATATTGATCTTTATTAAATACAACCTCTTATGTTAACCTTTATTAATCGCAACCCCTATATTAATCTTTATTATATTCCGACCCCTTATTTTAATCTTCCTTAACTATAATCCCTTATATTAACCTTTTATTAATTGCACCCTCTTATATTAATCTTTATTAATTGCAACCCCTTATTTTAATCTTTATTAAATACAACCCCTTATTTTAATCTTCTTCAACCACTACCTCTTTTTACTAATCGTCTGCCCTGCCCTTATATAATCCCTATTTTTTCTTTCTTATATCCTTATATTATCCAATTTATTTGCTATACAACCCTGATATTAACCTTAATTAATTGTAATCCCTCATTGTCTCCTATTCTTCCCTAATTATTCCCTTTATATTACCCTATTCCTCCACTTTAAAAACCCTTATGTAACCCTATTCCTCCATTCTAAAACCCTTATGTAACCCCATTCCTCCATTCTAAAACCCTTATGTTAATTCTACCATCTATTAACCACAAATCCTTATATTAAACTTTATTAACCACATCCCCTTTGTTTAATCTACTTTTACCAAACCGTATATTAACCAATACTTTATTAATTACCCTTTTTTATTAACCGACTTACTATTAATTAACAACCTCTTATATTAATCCATTTTCTTTTTTTATTAATCCCTTTTTCTTCTTTCCCATTCTCTCTCGGTTAAACCCTTATAACCTCCCCCTGATTTTATCTTATACCTGTATTTTAATTCCACTCTGATTTTACTTTGACCCAAATCTTACCAACTAATATCCTCCTTTACTATAACAAACCCTTTTATTATTTTTATTCTTCCACCCTTGAACTCCTATACTATCCCTATTTTTGTTAATTATATCCTTATATTACCCCTGTACACCGTAAACTATAATCTATAATATTAATCCACCAATTATTAATCGCAATTTTGTATATTATCCTATACTTTATTAATTACAATTCCTTATACTATCTGATTTTATTTAATTAATTTTTATATTAAAAAAAATCCCTATTTTTTTTTATTAAACCCTTATATTTTTATATCCTTCCTCTATTAAACCTTTTATATTATTTTATTCTTTAACGGTCAATCCCCCTATATCCCTCCTGTTTTTTACTATTAAACCCTAATGTTATCCTATTCCTCTGCTGTTATTATCCCTATTTGTCCACTGTTAAATCCTTGTATTATTCCTATTTTTCCTTTGTTAAACCCTTTATATTATTCCATTTTTCTCTGTTAAATCTGTATATTACCCTATTCCTCTGCCCTTAAATCCTTATATTACCTGATTTCTCTGCTTTTAAACCCTTATATTACCTGATTCCTGTGCTTTTAAACCCTTATGTTACCTAATTCCTCTGCTTTTAAACCCTTATGTTACCCTATTCCTCTGCCCTTGAACCCTTATATTGCCTAATTCTCTACCTGAATCCCTTTATATTACTATATTCCTTAACACTTATCCCCTGATCTTGCCTGATTCCTCTGCCTGTAAACCCTTATATAATCCCTATTTTTCCTCTATTAATCCCTTTATATAATTCTAATTTATTCTTTGCAACAATGTTATAAAACTAATCTAGTTTAAATTATAATTTAAATTCCTGCTTAATTAATCCCTTTTTTTTTCTCCCTATTCTTTTTATATATTATCCACTTGAACCTTTTTTTTTTAATTAATCCCCGCCTTTATTATAACCACCTCTAATATAATCCCTATTTAACCCTGGTTAATATACTTAATTTTTGCTATTAAACCCTAACTTTAACCCACACTTATAAATTATATTCCTAAATCCAATCCCGATTCTTCCTTGATTAATCCCTTTATATTAATTAGTTATCTTGTTATATTAATTTAATTAATAATCTCGCCCTTATTTACTCCCCCCTGATTTTTCTGATTAATCTATTTTATTAATTATTCCTAATCTCTAGTACTAATTTTTTTTTATTATTAAACCCTGATCCCTTTACTAATTTTTTTTAATTTTTTTATTATTATAAACCTGTACCTTTGTCCTAATTTTATTTTTACTAAACCCTTATATTCTCCCTCTTTTCTCTGTTAAACTATTATTATCTCCCCTATTCTACCTTTATTAAACCCTTATGTTACCCCATTCCTCTACTCTTAAATCCTAATATTGCCCTATTCCTCTATTTATAAACCTAATATTACCTAACTTTTTTACTTATAAAATCCTTATATTACTGAACTTTTTTACTTGTAAACCCTTATATTCTCCCCTTTTTTATTATTAAATAATTATCTTCTCCTAATTTTTCCTTTTATTAAACCCTTATATTACCCCTGTTCCTCTGCCCTTAAACCCTTATGTTACCCCTGTTCCTCTGCCCTTAAACCCTTATGTGATCCTATTCCTCTGTTAATCCCTTTATATAATTCCTATTTATTTTTATTATAACTTTATAAAACACGAATCGTATCCCTATTATTACTTGGTTAAAAATAAATCTTTAAAATATTTAAATACTTTGTATAAATATTAACCCTTTTAAACTATAATACTAATTAACAATCCCCTATATTTACATGGAACCCTTTAATTACTATTTAACCACTTATTAATTAACATATTTAATTATATATATAACTATGTAATTTACTACTTTTTAACTATTACAAAACTACTTATAAACTACTTTAAAACTGCTTGTTAACTACTTATAAGCTTTTAATTCCTTGGTAACCTGCTGAACTGGTTGGAAACTAGTTTGGAACCATTTTTGGTTGCCTATTATATTATTTCTATGCTGCATGCTTCCCTCCTGGTATATATATCCCCTAGTATATACTTTGCATATGCTCCCTATATTATATATATTTACTATACTACTTGTTATTTTAATACTGTATACTCCCCCTGGTGGTGCCTGCCCCCGGTACATGCCTCCCCCGGTACATGCCTCCCCCGGTACATGCCTCCCCCGGTACATGCCTCCCCCGGTACATGCCTCCCCTGGTATATACCTCCCCGGTGCGTACCTCCCACTGATATATACCTCTCCTTAGTACGCATTTCACCCCCGGTACACGTGTTAACTGCTATATGCCTCCCCCAGTGCGTACCTCCCCTCGGTACGTGCCTTCCCCTGGTATGTATCTCTTCCCAGTGTGTATCTCCCCTGGTACATGCCTTCCCCTGGTGCGTATCTTCCCCTTTATATGTACCTCCCCCAGTGCATATTTTCCCCGGTGCGTATCTCCCCTGGTATATACCTTTTCCCCTAATACATGCCTCTTCCCGGTACATGCCTCCCCCTAGTATATGCCTCCCCCGGTGCGTATCTCCCCCGGTGTGTATTTCCCCTGGTATGTATCCTTTCCCTAGTACATGCCTTTCCTAGTGCGTGTTTACCTCGGTGCGTGTTTACCTCGGTACATGTTTACCCTGGTATATACCTTTTTCTAGTGCGTACCTCCCCCCTAATACATACCTCCCCGGTGTGTGTTTACCCCGGTGCGTGTTTGCCCCGGCACGTGTTTGCCCTGGCACGTGTTTGCCCTGGCACGTGTTTGCCCTGGCACGTGTTTGCCCTGGCACGTGTTTGCCCTGGCACGTGTTTACCCTGGCACGTGTTTACTGCGGTGCGTGTTTCCCCGGCACGTGTTTACCCCGGTGCGTGTTCCCCGGTGCGTGTTTGCCCCGGCACATGTTTACCCTGGCACGTGTTTGCCCCGGCACGTGTTTACCCCGGCACGTGTTTACCCCGGTGCGTGTTTCCCCGGCACGTGTTTACCCCGGTGCGTGTTTCCCCGGTGCGTGTTTGCCCCGGTGCGTGTTTGCGCCGGCACGTGTTTACCCTGGTATATGTTTGCCCCGGCACGTGTTTCCTCCGGTGCGTGTTTGCCCCAGTGCGTGTTTACCCCGGTACATACCTATTCTTGGTGTGCCCTCTCCCCGGACTATATCTCCCCTGGTATATATATTCCCTTGCTACATATACTCTATATATACTTTAAACACTGCGTGTGTACATCCCCTAGTATATATACTTTGTATTTGTTTACTTTAATATATGCGTCCCCTGGTACATGCCCCCCCGGTGCGTGTTTACCCTGGTACGTGCCTTCCCCTGGTGCGTACCTCCCCTGGTATATGTCTCCCCCGGTGCGTACCTCTCCTTGGTATATATTTCCCCCGGTACATATATTAACTGCTATATGCCTTCCCCTGGTCCATGCCTCCCTATAATATATGCCTTTCCCCAGTCCGTACCTCCCCTCGGTACGTGCCTCCCACTATTATATATCTCTTCCCGGTGCGTACTTCCCCCGGTGCGTGCCTTCCCCTAGTGTGTATCCTTTCCCGGTACATATATCTCCCCGGTGTGTTCTCCCCCGGTGCGTTCTCCCCCAGTGTGCCCCTCCCCCGGTGCGTGCCTCCCGCTGGTATATATACTTTACCCCGGGCAAAAACTTTTACCCCGGTGTATACTTTTACCCCGGTGTGTGTGTTTACTGGTGCGTACCTTCCCCTAGTACATCCCTTCCCCTAGTACATCCCTTCCCCCGGTGCGTACCTCCCCCGGTGTGTATCTCCCCGGCATGTGGCTCCCCCTGGTGTATATCTCCCCGGTATATACCTCCTGCGGTATATACCTCCCCTGGTGTATATATTCCCTTGCTACTTATACTCTGCATATGCTTAAAACACTGCCTGTGTATATCCCCTAGTATATATACTTTATGTTTGTTTATTTTAATATATGCGTCCCCTGGTATATATTTACCCCTGGTGCATGTTTACCCCGGTGAGTCTTTGCCCTGGTAAGTCTTTACCCCGGTGTGTATCTCCCCTGGTACATGTCTCCCCTAGTGCGTGTTTACCCCGGTGCGTGTTTGCCCTGGTGCGTGTTTACCCCGGTAAGTCTTTGCCCCGGTGCGTACCCTCCCCTGGTACATGCCTCCCCCGGTGCGTGCTTCCCCCGGTGCGTACCCTCCCCCGGTGCGTATCTCCCCCGGTGCGTATCTCCCCCGGTGCGTACCTCCCCCGGTGCGTACCTCCCCCGGTGCGTACCTCCCCCGGTGCGTACCTCCCCCGGTGCGTACCTTCCCTCGGTGTGTACCTCCCCTCGGTGCGTACCTTCCCCGGTGCGTGTGCCTCCCCCTGGCATATACCTCCCCCGGTACATGGCTCCCCCTGGTGCGTAACTCCCCCCGGTGCGTACCTCCCCCGGTGTATATCTCCCCCGGGTACATACCTCCCTCGGTGCGTGTGTCCACTGGTATATGCCTCTCCCTGGTACATGCCTTCCCCAGTGCGTACCTCCCCTGGTATATGCCTCCACTCGGTGCGTACCTCCCACCGGTGCGTGTTTGCCCCGGTGCGTTTTTACCCCGGTGTGTACCCCCCCTGGTACATGCCTTCCCCCGGTACGTATCTCCCCTGGTACATACTTCCCCGGTGCGTGTTTACCCCGGTAAGTCTTTGCCCCGGTGCGTACCTCCCCCTGGTACATGCCTCCCCCGGTGCGTGTTTACCCCGGTGCATGCTTCCCCGGTGCGTGTTTACCCTGGTATGTGTTTACCCCGGTGCATGTTTACACCAGTATATACCTACCCTTGGTGTGTCCCTCTCCCCGGACTGTATCTCCCCCGGTGCATACCTCCCCCTAGTGTGTACCTCCCCCGGTGCGTACCTCCCCGGTGCGTATCTCCTACTAGTATATATTTATTCTTAATACACATTTCACCCCCGGTACACGTGTTAACTGCTATATGCCTTCCCCCAGTGCGTACCTCCCCTTAGTTCATACCTTTCCCTGGTGCGTATCTCCCCCTGGTGTGTATTTTTTTCCCGGTATATATATCCCCCGGTGTGTCCTTCCCCAGTGTATTCTCCCCCAGTGTGTACCTCCCCCGGTGCATACTACTTTTTACCCTGGTGCAAACTTCACCCTGGTGTATACTTTACCCCGGTGCGTGTATTAACTAGTACATACCTTTTCCTAGTATATGCCTTCCTCCGGTGCATACCTCCCCCTCGTGTGTATACCTCCCCCGGTGCGTGTTCACCCCGGGTGTGTTTACCCCGGTGCGTACCTCCCCCGGGTATATGCCTTGCCCTGGTATTCGCCTCCCCCGGTGCGTACCTCCCTCTGGTGTGTATCTCTCCCCGGCACGTGGCTTCCCCTGGTGTATGCCTCCCCTGGTGTATACCTCCTCCGGTGTGTGTGCCTCCCGGGGTGTATTACCCCTGGTGTGTGTATTTCCTTGCTATATATACTCTGCATATGCTAAAAACACTGCCTGTGTATATTCCCTGGTATATATAGTTTGCGTTTATTTACTTTTAATATATGCGTCACCCGGTACATGTTTACCCCGGTGCGTACCTCCCCTGGTATATACCTCCCCTAGTGCGTACCTCCCCCGGTGTGTATCTTCCCCGGCACGTGGCTCCCTCTGGTGTATGTCTCCCCGGTGTATACCTCCTCCGGTATGTGTGCCTCCCGGGTGTGTATTACCCCCAGTGTGTGTATTTCCTTGCTATATATACTCTGTATATGCTTAAAACACTGCCTGTGTATATTCCCTGGTATATATAGTTTGCGTTTATTCACTTTAATATATGCGTCACCCGGTACATGTTTACCCCGGTTTATGTTTACCCCGGTGCGTGTTTGCCCCGGTGCGTGTTTGCCCTGGTGTGTACCTCCCCCCTGGTACATGCCTCCCCGGTGCGTGTTTACCCCGGTGCGTGTTTGCCCCGGTGCGTACCTCCCCCGGTGTACCTCCCCCCCTCCCCGGTGCGTACCTCCCCCGGTGCGTATCTCCCCAGTGTGTACCTCGCGCTGGTGTATACTTTACCCCGGTGCGTTTTACCCCGGTGCGTACCTCCCCTGGTACATGCCTCCCCCGGTGCGTGTTTGCCCCGGTGCGTCTTTACCCCGGTGCGTACTCCCCCTGGTATATGCCTCCCCCGGTGCGTGTTTGCCCCGGTGCGTCTTTACCCCGGTGCGTGTTTACCCTGGTATGTGTTTACCCCGGTGTATACCTCCCCCAGTATATATCCTTTCCTGGTACATATATCCCCCCGGTGCGTCCTCCCCGGTGCGTATCTCCCCCAGTGTATATTCTTTTCCCGATACATGTGTCCCCCCGGTGCGTCCCCCCCCCTGGTATATAGCTCCTGCTAGTGTGTATCTCCCCCAGTTCGTGTGTTTACTAGTATATACCTACCCCTGGTACATGCCTCCCCTTGGTGCATGCCTGCCCCGGTGCGTATCTCCCCCGGTGTGTGTATCTGCCCCTGGTATGTATTTCCCCCGGCACATGGCTCCCCCTGGTATATGCCTCCCCCTGGTACGTGGCTCCCCCTGGTGCGCACCTCCCCGGTGTGTGTGTCTCTCCCCGGTGTGTATATCTCCCCTGTGTATATACCTCCCCTTAGTATATATCTCCCCGGTGCATACCTGCCCCTGGTGCGTACCTCCCCTGGTATATATTTTTTCCCCGGTATATATATCCCCCGGTGCGTGTTTACCCTGGTGCGTGTTTATCCCGGTACGTGTTTACCTTGGTACATGCTTTCCCCGGTGCGTACCTCCCCTGGTATATACCTCCCCCCGGTGCGTACCTCCCACCGGTGTATACCCTCCTTGGTACGTATTTCACCCCCGGTACACGTGTTAACTGCTATATGCCTTCCCCTAGTGCGTACCTCCCCCGGGTATATGCCTTGCCCTGGTATACACCTCCCCCGGTGCGTACCCCCCTGGTACATGCCTTCCCCCCCGGTGTGTACCTTCCTCGGTGCATATCTCCCCTGTTGTGTGTGTACCCTAGTATATATATATTCCCTGGCATATATAATTTTTAGTATATATATCCCCTGTCCCCTAGTACATGCGTCCCCTGGTATATATATCCCTGGTGTATATACTTAGCATGTGCTCCCTTTACTTTTATACACCTCCCTGCGTGTATATATTTTACGTGTGCTTTTTCTAATACATGCCTTTTTTATACTTTTATACCTTCCTCTAGTATATATTTTTACTACTATATACCTCCCCCAGCGCATACCTTCCCCCAGTGCGTACCTCTCCCCGGTGCGTATTTTTTCCTGGTATATATCTCCCCGCGGTGCATACCTGCCCCTGGTATGTACCTCCCCCGGTGCGTGTGCCTCCCCCCCCGGTGCGTGTGCCTCCCCCTGGTATATATATCCCCCGGTACATGGCTCCCCCTGGTACGTAACTCCCCCGGTGCGTACCTCCCCCTGGTACGTGGCTCCCGCTGGTGCGTATCTCTCTGCGGTGACTATGTTCCCCTAATACATATTTACACTAGTACATGCCTCCCCCGGTGTACATACCTCCCCCGGTGTGTATACCCCCCCCGGTGTGCATACCTCCCCCGGTGTGTATACATCCCCTTGGTGTGTTACCCCCACAGTGTGTGTACCTCCTCCTAGTATACATATCTCCCCGCTGCATATCTACCCCCAGTGTATATCTCCCCGGGTATATACCCCCTCGGTGCGTGTGTTTACTAGTATATACCTCTCCCTGGTATATGCCTTCCACCGGTGCGTACCTCCCCTGGTATATGCCTCCCCCGGTGCGTACCTTCCACCAGTGCGTGTTTACCCTGGTGCGTCTTTGCCCTGGGTGTGTGTTTACCCCGGTGCGCCTTTGCCCTAGTACATGCCTTCCCCGGTGTGTACCTCCCCCCGGTGCGTACCTCCCCCTGATACATACCTCCCCCGGTGCGTACCTCCCCCGGTGCGTACCTCCCCTGGTCCGTGCCTTCTCCCGGTGCATGCCTTCTCCCGGTGCATACCTCCACCTAGTATATATACTTTGCGTTTGTTTACTTTAATATATGCGTCCCCTGATATATATTTGCCCGGTGCGTGTTTACCCCGGTGCGTGTTTGCCCTGGTGTGTGTTTACCCCGGTGTGTTTTTGCCCCGGTACGTACCTCCCCTGGTACATGCCTCCCCCATTGCATGTTTGCCCCGGTGCGTGTTTGCCCTGGTGCGTCTTTGCCCCGGTGCGTGTTTCCCCGGTGCGTGTTTACCCCGGTACATGCCTTCCCCGGTGGTGCCTACCCCCCCCGGTGCGTACCTCCCCCGGTGCGTGCCTCCTCCTGGTGCATGCCTTCTCCCGGTGCGTACCTCCCCCTAGTATATATCCTTTTACGGTACATGCCTCGCGGTGCGTACCTCCCCTAGTATGTATCCTTTCCTGGTATATTTATCCCCCCAGTGCGTCCTTCCCCGGTGCGTACCTTCTCTTGGTTCCCTGGTATATACCTCTGCCTAGTACGTGTGTCCACCGCTGTTTATATCCCTATATTATATATGCTCTGCATGTGCTCCTATATTATATACACTTATTAGTCTCTAAATAACAATTATAAATATATTACTGTTCTTGCTACACTGTATACTAACTAGTTATACCACAAACCCCGTGGATCCCCTCCAATTCTTTGCAGATCTGCCATAGCCAGCAAAATAATGCGAATAACTGGCTGTGCTGGCCTTTGGCTCCCTCCGTGGCCTGCCCCAAAAACTGCAACACTTGCATGGTGTTGTTTGCGTCCACCCCGTGCTGCTGCAACCGGCGCTGCCATAGTGGCTGGATCTGCTCCTCCCACGGGCCGTACAGTATTACAGCTGTCATGGGGACCAATATATCCTTATATACACACTCGGTTTGTGTTGGATGGCCATCTAGTACCTCCCATCGTCGACAGATCGTCTGCGGCATATAACAGCGGTAACAAGCGGTATATCTAGCGAATGGAATCTTATACTGGCGAACTAGATTAACCCATGCCTTGGCTTTGTCGCTTTTGGGCCCACGACAAAAGTATAACTCGTGTTCGTTCCGTTCCCGTCCTGCAATGGTGCAAATATAGCACTTTTTCTGCCATGGTGCTATCTCGTTTTCAATAGTTTCCTCGTCCAACCACTGCCGTGCATCTTGCACCTGGTGTTGAATACGGGGCGCTGCATGGCGCTGGTCTTGCACCCGTTGGCGCTGGCGTTCGGCGATACTAACCGTGGGCGTGGGATTGGGGGGCGATATTTTGCGTGCTCTGTGGTATAACATGCGATATTACTTGAGTTTCAAATGATTCTGTACTGTCATGGGATTGGGACCGGCGTGTGGGATTTGGCGCGATATTCTGCGTGCTCTGTGGTATAATATGCGATAATGGAAATAATTCGCCACTACCATGGGAATGGGGACTGCCCGTAGCGCTAATCTCGCGTGGTGGGCTTGTCGTGCTGGCGAGATCGTCCATGCGGGTGTCCGGGGAATATCTGTCCGGGGACATGCAAACCGACTCCTGCGCGAGCCAATCGGCGTCACAGCCGTCACAGAGTGCCTCGGTGGAATCAATATCCTGACAGTATCGGCGCGTATAGCCATTCACTGTTTCGTCCATGTACGCGTCCAATACAAACCGTCGACATCCCACCCCGGGCGCCACCCCGAGGTACTCGTCCACCAACTCGCGATCCGCCACGGCCTCTGGCGTCTCCGGCGTGGGCTCGTCCCAGCCCTCGGGCTGGATAATAATCGCCTCGCTGCGCTGGCTATCCCGTCCGGCTCGCCCACTTTCCTGCCCGTACTCCAACAACGACCGCGGTGTTCCAATATGGATAATACTGCGAATATCGGGGATATCCACACCCATGCCCAATGCACTGGTGGCGGTAATTACTCGCGCCTCGCCCCGGGTAAATCGCTGTAATATAGATGGCTTGTCAACCTGCTTGCTGTAGTACGCCTCGCACGCTAACTCGCGTGCAATCTCCACTACCTGACGGACCACATGGCCGTATACCACCACCTTGCCATCCTTGGCGCGCTGGATTCGCTCGCGGATAAAACGCGAGCACCGGCTCGCTGGTAAACCACTGCATGGAACGCCGACCCAGCTCGGGCCGCCACACGCGATACGCCACGTTGGGACGGCTTGTCCGGTCCCGAAATATATGGACTTGCTCGCGGGAATACTCCATGCGCCGGAATAACTTCGCCTCCAACCGCGGCGGCAACGTGGCAGTTAATAACACCATCTGGGTTCGCGCGTGGTTCAACCGCCCCAGCTGTCGCAACTCGGGTCGGAAATCCGTTTGGTCGTTTAATATCACATGGCATTCGTCGATCACGATCCGGTCTAACCGGCGTGTTTGCTGCAACCGGTTAATAAACGTTTGAAAATCCTCCTGCACCGCGGATTCCGGTGTGACCAGTACAATTGTCGCTTCGTCCGGTGGCCGTCGACTATCCCATTCAATGCAGGATATACCCAACTCGCGACAGCGCCGCACCATATCGTTCCGCAATGATATTAATGGCACGACCACAATGGTAGTACCACTGGGCTCGGCGAATGCAGGTAACATAAACAACATGCTTTTTCCCCTCCGGTGCGCATAATGGCGACCACCGGGCTCTTGCCGTCCTGAATGGCGCGCAACGCCGGTGCTTGGACGCCCCGGAACTGGATATCCTCTTGCCCGGTCATGTGCTGCAACGTGGTGCGCATATCTGCGATATTTAACCGGTGACGTCGGACCACTCGGCCCTCCTCGGCTTCGTCCTCCCATGGTGATCTCTTGCGCTTCCCCAACGGGCTGGGCTCCGCGGCGGATGCAAACCCCAAAACCGGTGCCAATCGGTGCTGGAGAGTCGAAACATTGCACGGCGATGTGCCGTGGTCCCGGGCTGCTCCATAATACCACGGCCGTACACTCCACCCGCCAATTGGGATGAATGCGCCGCCTGCAAGTCTGCAATATGGCCTAACCACTGCTCCTCGTCCATACCCTCCTCGGTGTCGGCGTTTAACACAGCCTGCGCCAAGTCTCTCTCCTCCTGTCATGTTGCTGGCAAACGCGGCAGTGGGTCGCAAAAATCGTCGGCTAATCCCAATGGCGATATCCCGATACCACTGGATATTAATGGCTTCTTTTAACCGGGTCTTGGTTTCGCGCTTTAACACCTCCCGGAACCGCTCGGACGTCCATTTGCGCCGGGTTCCGGGGTCGGGGCCCCATAAAAACGCATCTTCGCGGATCTGCGCTGCGTGCGTGCCCTGCGCTGTGGTGCCCTGCGCTGCGTGCGTGCCCTGCGCTGTGGTGCCCTGCGCTGCGCTGCGTGCGTGCCCTGCGCTGCGTGCGTGCCCTGCGATGATGTACGTGCCCTGCGTTGCGTGCGTGCCCTGCGTTGCGTCCATGCCCTGTGCCGTGGTGCCCTGCGCTGCGTACGTGCCCTGCGATGTGTACGTGCCCTGCGTTGCGTGAGCGCCCTGCACCGTGGTGCCCTGCGCTGTGGTGGTGCTTTGCGCTGTGGTGGTGCTTTGCGCTGTGGTGGTGCCCTGTACTGCGCGTATTCCCTGCGTGCCCTGCGTTGCGTTCGTGCCCTGCGCTGTGGTGGTGCCCTGCACTGCGTGCGTTCCCTGCGTTGCGTGCATGCCCTGCGCCGTGGTGCCCTGCGTCTGCTTCGCATGCCATGCGCTTAGTTGCTGCACAAATGGTAATACCAACCATAAATACCACACAATTAATTCACCCACCTCCCGTGGCACAAATCGATGAATGATCTTTATATCGTTACTCGCGTAAAACCCCTTGTGGTACGCCGTCACCAACGCCACCATCCCGTCCTCGATATAGATATTGCGCTGTCGATTCGCCACGGTATTCACATGTTGAATACTTAATAACTCGGGTGCGCGAGCCGGCTGGCCGGATACCACGTGAACAAGCACTGCTAATTTCTCCTTAAATCGCGCCACGCGCTCCAGATACTGCGCCACCTTCGGCATGTGCAGCCGTCGGGCTTGGCGCCGGACGGTAAACTCCTTCTGCACGGCCGGCTCGGCCCGCAACCGGCCGATCATCCACTTGGGCCCCACCGGCCATTGCGTGCGCTGATCCCGCAAAAATTCCATCCCACCGTGGCCTGCGTGGGGTCGTCGTAGATCGCGTGCCATGGAATACTGGGAATGTCTTCCCGCGCTGTCACGCACAGTATGTCGCACAATATCTGGCGTGTGGCCCCGACCAATCCATGGACAAATCCGCGGAAATCGCCCATGGTAAATGTGATATGCTTGTATCCGAGCTCGTCGCCATGGTTCCATGTAATGTGCCCGGGCGCCGTGGTATTATAATGGATCTTTAACCCGTACGTGCGCCAATCCTGCAACGTTTGTATTGGACTGTGGGTGCCACGCACCATAAACCGCTGCACCATCCACTCCACGTGCTCCTGGAATGTTTTCCCGCGATTCTGCCGGCGGATATTCACTATCGGTTGGGGATTACTGCTGGTAATGGGCGATGTGGGGGCGATGATGGGATGCCTTTGCTCTGGTTGACTGTAATATCCCTCGTCCGAATAAATATCCTCCAGCTCGTCGTCGGCGCTGGCGAGCACCCACTGCGCGCAGTTACTCTTCTTCTGCCACACCGCGATAATCTCCTCGGGATTCGGATCCAACCAAAGCGCTTTCTGGACAATTATAAAGCGCGCCACCTTGATCACACGCGATAAGATCGGGGATAACTCTCCGGGCCCTGCCATCTGTCCCGGCCCCATCCCAACACGGCCATGGCACATACAAGCACGCTCTCGTACTCATGGCTACGCTGCTTTTGGTTTAGCAACTCGATGCAAAACTCCAAACACGCGCCTTCGATCGGGGTCATGCGCCACGCTGCGTCGTCGTCCTGCGGCTCGCCGGGAATATCCCGGTGGGTAGTGGCGAGGTGCCATAACTGCCGCCATTTCTTGCGCTGCCGTGCTGTCATCCCGTACGGGGACTCGTCCATCCGTGTGGCGCCTGGGTGCGCGCGATAAACGCTAGGATTTGCTGCCATGGCTGCATATGCTTAACCACGCTCTCGGTATCCATATACGCCTGCAACGGTCGATATGGTGTTTGACCCTTTTCAGATCGGATGGCTTCAATGCAGATTGCCTGGCCGCTGTGCTGGACCACGCGCTGGCTCTTGCGCACGACCTGCTCCATGGCGGCCCAAATGTGGCGCACGCCCTGCTCCACGGGATCTGTGGGCTCTTCCTCGGGCGGCGCCACGCTGTCGGTTAGATCCTTTGGTGCGATTCCTTCTAAATACTCGGACCACCGGGTCATGCGCAGCCATGGGTTGGCGTCGGTAATATCAGATGCCTGAATTGTACTCGGCGTGGACTGCGCCTCCTTCCACGCGTTCTCTAGCTCCTGGACAGCAACCTGGATATCATCTGTGGGGATCGCCGGTTCGTCGTTCTCATTTGGATTGCGGATGTGAATATAATGCGATCCTTTGCGCGATGGGAATATCTGCTGGCATGTCACAGATATAAAGGATCGCTGCAGCTCAGCATCTGCACGCACGCGCTCGTCACGGCTTACTCGACCACCATGCGGATACTGGGACCATCCATGGGTGGTGCGCCAGTGCTTTCGCATATTCTCAATTGTTCTTCCTATGTACTGACAGCCCGGGGAATCCCGCCGACATAATAAACCATCAGGTTGTACGGGTATTCCAACCAACGCCTGGTCCAACTGATGGGGAAAATTAACCTGATCGGGGAATGCGCAATATCCTCCCATTGCATTACCTTCTCGCTAATCTGGACAGCATCGGCGTGTGGGATTTGATGGGCGCGATTTTTAAATGGCGGAGAACCTCGGGGGCCACACACCATGCTGGCATTGCTTGCAAATAATAACAGGTAACATATCAAGCTTCTCGAATATCTGGTGCTCCATGGCCGAAATTAAATTGTTTATTTAAACGCGATCGTATAACTGCAGTTGGGTGTGTTTACCTCTTTCCTAAATAATCCTGCAACCTGGCAAGTTTGGTGGTTATGTAATAACGGCTCGGTCGGCTGTGATACCCCAACAAAATAATTAAGTCGAATAATAAACATCGACCACCACCACAGTATTATATAACGGAATTTCAAGCTCCCATTTTGCCAAGTTACTTTTATAGGTGTCCTGCATCTACTATAAAAATTTAAGCTATGGTGGATTATGGGTTGTCGAGCTACCCTACGTTTATAATTTGGAACGACTATATGTTAACGAGAATTCTGCTAGCCAATCAGCGCACGATCCTCGCCCCACTGTTATCCGACCCTAACCAGACTCTACCAACATCCGCCCCAGGCCTGTGGAATAGGTATAGGAAAACTGGTGCTGGACCAGAGATATAGGGAACAGTAGAGTTGAGCTAGTACGCTTACGCTGGGTTTTTCGAAGCTTCCCTTTAAAAGCTTTTGTGGTTTAGAGATTCCCTTTAAAAATCTCTACTTACTAGCTAGATCCCTAGCTAGTAAAGTTTTAGGATCACCTACCTGGTTTACTTTTCTACCTGTTTATTTTTTTTTTTTTTTCCTTTTATTTTCCCTTGTCTATCAGAGAGAAGAATGGGGTCTTTTGAAGACCCAACCACCCCACCTAGGGACTCGTCACCCACTACTCGTCCATCGCAGCCACCAAGCCCTAAAAAAGGGACCAAAGGCAAAAGAAAACACTCGTTCATCAGCCCAAAGGCAAGACTTGAGTTTAGGCCTGATTCCAATTCTCCTCCTGAGAGCCCTAATTCCTTTGCGTCATTAAGTCAAATGTCTGAAGATAGAAGAGGTGCTCCTTAAATAAAAAGGAAGAATAGGAAAAAGCTTTAGACAAAAACAAATAGAAAGTGATGCCAAACAAAGTTATATCCAAAAACTTGAGTCTGCAAAGATCTTACTGCAAGAGATCCACCATAGTTTAGCAAATGCTAAGATCCTTGAAGCTCTAGATATGCATCTGGAGGGCCTCTCAGCTATCCAAGACAAATTGCAAAATCCGGAAGCTAAAGGATCCCTGCTTTCCAAAGACAATCAACTTCAAAAACTCCAGAAAGAGGTTAACGCTATTAATCAAAAACTTGATAAATAGCCCTAGCCTCTTCTCAACCAAAGCAAAAACCAGTAAAGACCTTTCATACGCAGCAGCAGTCCAAAAAGGAATAAAACCGCAAGTAGTTATCCCAACCAAGAAACAAGATCAGCCAAAACGGGTAGAACAGGCCGCCTACAAAGGTAGTAGGCTTATTCTAGAGGTTTCTGCAGAATTTCTGCAAGACCTAGACTCCTTAAAGCTCCGAAACCAAATCAACCACCAGTTCCAGATAAAAGAAAAGGTAGACAAACCTATAGTAAGGACAGCAAGCACTTCCTTTACTAAAAGGACCCTTATCCTCACCACAATGGACGGTATTCAGGCGCCTTATTTAATAGAGAAGCTGGATGTCTGGAAACCACTTATCCCCTATACTAAGTGGATGTTTGATGAACCATGGGCAAAAATAGTTATTCACATGGTCCCCACCAGGCCTTTTGAAACCCAAGAAGGCATGCAGATGCTCAAGGAAGAGATCGAAATCTTTAACCCAGGTCTAAAACTAATGAGGCCCCCAACATGGCTGACCCCAGAACATGTCCGCGAGACCAAAAATCACTCCTCTATTGTAGTGGACGTGCAGAATGAAGCCATGGCATCCAAGGCAATTAAAAATCAACTCTGTGTTGCAGGAGCTTTATGTAGAGCTACTAAATATATAGAGAAAACTGCCCAATGCCAAAATGCCAAGGATACAAGCATATTGCCAAATACTGCAAGAATAATCCAAAATGCGCTATTTGCGCAGAAAGGCATGAAACCCAATACCATGAATGTTCCACATGCGAAGTAAAAAGCCAGGAATGTCCCCACACACAGGTTAAATGCGCTAATTGCAATCAAGCCCACAGAGCAGATAGCAAAAACTGCAAGGAATGGGAAAAAGTCAAACCAAAACCAAGGCCTAGGCCTACAGAAAGACCAATCCCAAACAGTAACATGGAATTAGATTACTAATGAATCAGAAAAACACTGATTTAGGAATCTATTTCCTGCAAAATAATACTGGACGCAATCAGAATGCTATGTTATCTTGCTTAGAAATAGGCCTGGAGCTTAATATCGACTTTATTATCATCCAGGAACCATGGATAGCGCCTGATAATAGCTTTACTATATCCCACCCAGCATACACCCCAATCCTCCCTGAGCAAACCAAGGTTAGACCTAGAGTAGCAATCTACCATAGAAAGCTATCTAGGTTTAATTATTGCCAAAGAAACGATATTAGCACTGATAGTGATTTGCTGGTAATAGATATCTTAGGTGCAGAAATCCAAGATCTGCAGCTAATAAATATATATAACGAGCAATCACTAGAGGAAGGCGCCGAGTGGACAATAGAAAGAGCCCTAGCTAGGGTTACCCCCTCCACACATGCAGTAATAGGGGGGACTTTAATGCACACCATAGCTGGTGGAACTCAAAGACATTATCACCTACCAGGGCTGATACTTTGATTAAATGGCTTGAAGAACATCAATGTGAACTGCTAAATAAACCTGACCTGCAAACATGCCATAGAAAAGGAATGAGAAATGTCTCTGTTATTGACTTAACCTTTATTACCAAAGGTCTAAATCAATATAGAGTAAATTGGGAAATTGACCAAGAACTCGCCTCGGGATCAGACCACGAAATTTTGCTTTATTCTGTTGAAGTAAAAACACAAGAAATTGAAAACCCCTGGTCAGTTTACCATATAACCTAAAAATGGCAAATTGGGCATTATTCAGCAAGAAAATCCTCGAGCTAGATACAAGCCAAGAATTCAGACAGGGGAGCTTTAATACCGATATAGAGCTAGAAACCGCAGCTCTAAATCTGCAAGAAATAATTCAAATAGCTGCAGATGCTAGTATCCCAAGAAGAAAACCATCTGCCCAGTCAAAAGCATGGTGGTCAAAGGAACTTAAAATACTAAGGAAACAGCTTGGAAAAGCTAGAAAACTTTGGAAAAATAACCCATGTCCAGAGCTCTACGAAAATCTTCTAGAGATTAAAAATCAATATTTCCGGGAGATTAAGCAAGCTAAATCCGCATGCTGGAACAAATTCCTAGAAGAAGCTCGGAACAGGGAGATTTTCAAAGCTTTTAGCTATACTAAAAAGAGATCTGTTCAAAAACTGCCTATCTTGACCTATTCTATAGAGAATCAAGAGAAGCAAGCAATCTCCTTTCAAGATAAATGTCATGCATTTCTTTCCACCCTGTTTCAAAACCCCGGAGGCTAAGCCCATTGAGTGGCCAACCAACCAGGCAGAGTCAACCAACTGGCCAGAAACCAGGGAAAACGAGGTGTACACTGCTATCTTTAGTAGCTCTACAAAAAAAAGGCTCCTGGACCTGATGACATCTCATTCTTAATTATTCAAAAGGCTTACCAAAATATTGCTCCGAGATTCCACGAGCTTTATAAAGCCCTAATTAGAAATGGTTATCATCCCAAATGTTGGAAAACTGCCAAAGGGGTTATTCTTAAAAATCCGCGTCTGCTAAAAGGGACTACTCCAAGCCCAAGGCCTACAGAGTTATTTCCCTGCTTAACTGCCTAGGCAAGGTAGTAGAGAAGATTATTGCAACTAGGCTATCTTATCTAGCTGAACTCCCGCAATCAATCCTTTACCATGACCAAATGGGGGAAGAAAAAGAAAATCAGCAATTGATATAGCACTATCCCTAGTCCATGACATAGAGGTGGCAAAACATAATAAAATGGTTACTACAGCTCTTTTTATAGATGTAAAAGGAGCTTTTGACCATGTATCTACCAACCAGCTACTTAGAATATGTCTAAAACTAGGTCTTCCACATAACCTGATCCGGTGGATCAAATCCTTTATGTCGGACAGGAAAGTGTTCCTAGCTTTTGACGGTGAAACCAGCAACGAGACCCCAGTGCAAGTAGGGATCCCCAGGGATCACCTATATCACCCATCTTGTTCCTTATATATATTAGAGAGCTCTTTCAGCTTGAAATGTATGAGGAACTAGATAGTGATACAAGGAAAGCCTTTGGAAATACCCGAAAGCCTAGCTATATGGATGATATATGCCTTACTATTAGCTCTAATAGCCTAGAGAATAACTGCAGGCAAATAGAGCTGGTAGCCAATGCCATGTTTAAAAAGGAGCCAAAGACCATATCCAGTTTGACCAGGATAAAATAGAGCTTATTCACTTTAGCTCTAAACAACCAGACCAAGAAAACCAAGACATCCAGGTTAAACTAGATAATAATATCATAGTTAAACCAAGCCCTATGGTAAAATGGCTAGGAATCTACATAGATTCTAAACTCCTTTTCAAAGAACACGTGCAAATACGAGTTGCAGCTGCAACTAGGGCATTTCACCAAATAGCGAGGCTCTCAAATACAGAAAAGGGGCTAAGCTTCCAAGCTATAAGACAACTCTATATAGCATGCATTTCCTATTGCAGACTATGGAGTCCCTTTATGGTGGAAAGGCCAACAGTACCTAGTAGACCACTACCAGAAACTGCAAAATACAGCCCTAAGGAAAATTCTAGGGACTTTTAAAACATCGCCTATACAGGCCATGGAAATAGAAGCATCCCTGCCCCCACCATTAGTTAGATACGAGTAGTGAAATCTGCAGAAACTATGTACTCAGGACTGCTTATTTTATAAAATCCCATGCAATCCAAAGCAGACTTCCAACCACGTTTACGCTAAACCCGGGGGAATTTGCCATTGACCAATCAAGGTTTTTAGACTGGAATGAGAAA